ATGTACTGACAGTCAGCAGGCACAGCGATGTCGACTTGATATTTGCTCTCGCTGCAAGGACTGAGGAGGTGTTGATAACAGTTTTTTTAGACTTTATCTTTTGAATATGAATCAGAGAGTTTGCAATAAACAGAAGCATGCACAACAGTGTCATACTGTTCTCTTTGATAAGACCCATGAGCAATTCATACGTTTTGATCTCAGTATCTGTTTCTCAGCGGTACATCACTAATAGCGCACTTCGTCCTGCCTTCAAATCCCATGGGAAAAAAATTCTCTGATTTTTACATGGGATTTGAAGGCAGGAGGGGGTCTCATTTTGAAACATGAGTGATTTAAAAGTTCCTCTTACATATGTGGGTTACATTGTACTTATTTTTTTGATTTGTCCTTAAACATATGTCTTTTTAAATTCAGCCCTGTCAAATGAAAAATTCTGTCACGTCTTGGATAAACAAAGCATGAGAACCGTGTTTGCATGAAAAACAATGACATTTTTTTGCACTTTCAACTTATTTTAAGGTGTAAAAAGTCCCTTTTGGTATTGGCACCTCTTGGAATAACCATTATCTTCAGCCTCCTAGACCAGCCAATCTGGATTTGAAAGAAATTCAGACATAAAGAGAATTATCTACTGCAGGTAAGACATTAACCAGCTAATATTTAAGCAAAGCCTCACTTCAAAAACGCCAGTAAGAAAAAATACTATTAAATTTTTTATCTTTTTTATTTTTTTATTTTCTAATTCTAGTAAAAAAGCAAGCAGCTACTGATGTCTTCAGTATTACCATTCAGCCTGCAAGGTAACTTTGGTTTTGAAAGCTGTTTCAACAGTAAATACTTTGACTGTGTACTTTCCAGCAAAAATAAACTGTTGCAAAATCTTTTTCATCCAATTAAATCTGAAGCTTACTGTTTAAGTAATTTCAACTGAAGTCAAGTCAAGTCAAGAATAACTATTATTTAATGGATCTAATCATCTGTTAACATATGTGTTACTATAAAACATTTTAATTGTAGAAGGTCCTGAACTCCCTTAAGCTGAATTTGGTCTCTGAATCCTTTTGTCCAAGTGTCCTCATTGCTAAAATGTAAATGCTATCAATGGAATAGAGAACCCACTTGTAAGTATACAAATATGTTTTTGAGTTCAGTTGATTTGTTTTTTCCGAAATCTTAATCCAAGATTGAATTAATGTGAGAATGGTTTCCTAACAAGCCCAATTTTGCACCCATGGCTCAGTAATATGATTCGTTTTTCATCTCTGATTCTGGGTTTTTGTCCTCTTTTGCTTTCATCTCCCTCCTCTGTACCAGCCTGTCGTTTAGCATTGCCATCCTGCATGGGTGTGTATTTCTGGAAATGCAATTAATGAATTCTCTACTTTTCCCGTGCCTTTTTTCTCCCCTTCTTGTGCGCAGCAACGCGTCGCTCCATTAATTCTCAGCATTGCTACCCATAATTGACTTTTCTCTGACATGATTCCTCTCCACCGAGTGAGTCCCCACTTTATTATATTGTATTTTTCAAAACTGATCTCATTGTGTGTTGTTTACAGCGATACATGTGGTCCAGAGCAGCCGTGCCGTTTAAGGACAGATGAAGAAGAAGGGACAATGGGAGAAGAAATGAAATGTTGAAGAAAAGAGGAGGGGGAGGAAAGCAGTGTGGACCTCTTTTGTGCCTCGTCTACTGTCAGGGCCCTAACAGCTTCTTGTCTCTATGTTACGCTCTGTGGCCCCCTCTCAAACCTGCGCTTTTCTCTTTCTCTCCCTCTTTTACACACTCGCGCGCACGCACACACACTATCACGACCAATATGGCGCTCATGATTCCATTTTTTCTGTCTCAGTCTGGATGCATTTATTTTTTTAAAGTGATCCTCTATTGACTCATTGTCATGGAGAGGCTTGACTAGTCAACCAATGTAGGCCTAGGTTCAAATCCGTACGATAACTGATTTAAACTCCACGAATGGGTCACATGTGTTAAAAGATTCACTCAAAAAGAAAAAAAAAAAAAAAAACAGGAAAAAGCCAAACATAAACGTGGACAAATCTAAATTGCATTTTTTTTTCCCCTCAAGGCTTTGAGCGGTGTTGATTTGATTCAGGTAGCTGACCATGATCATTTTTGTCGTAAATGAAGAGGCTATATTTCTTTCTCAGCTCTCACACACTCATCAGCTCCCCTTCTGCACTCATCCCACACCCACGCTACAATCACAAGTTATGACCTTTGCTTTCTCAATATAATTTATCGCTGTTGCTCCCTGTTGCCTGTCCTCCCAGGAGCTCCGCTGGACTCCGTCCAGCCATGAGAAGAAAGCACGCCGTTGGGTCACATCAACCTGACTGGAAACAGTGTCGAGGTCAGGCGACCAGGAGAGCACTAAATTTACATTAAGCTGTTGCTTTATGGGTCACTAATCAGAATTTAATCTGAAGCCCATTGTGAGTGTTCAAAAAGTCAGGGGAGATAGATTTTTTTTTTTTTAGTCATAGGGAAAAACATAGAGATGTGCCAGTTCTATTTATTCCTGAAACTTGCAGATTAAACTTTTGACCAAATTTGGTTTTCTTTTAAAGAACTATGAGACATAGAAAGGAAATGTGTGCTTTATATTCTTTTATAGATGTAATTGTTTATATTTCACAAAAATATTTTGGAAATATAAGACTATCCATATTTATGATCAAATTGTATGTCCTAAGCCTGAGTCTCTGAGTCTCTGTTTTTTTTTTAATTCAACTCAGATGAAAGTGCTGGCAGCTCTTATTAGTGAAAAATCTGATTTTTCAGTATTTGCTATGTTGTTTACTGATCATCGCTGATCAACAAAATATGAATGTAATACTCTTACATTTCTAGAAAAATATAATTTTGTAACTTATTTGATATAATTAGAAATAGAAAACAATAAATAAATTAGCATCACATTTTTGAAGTTTTTCCATTGTATGTATAGTTACAAATCTGTCCTTTTTGAATTCGAGTCTGCTTTGGGTTCCAAGGTCAGTGGGGGCCTTGTTAAATCTCAAAGTTTGCTTATACTCTAGGCCGGCTGTGACTATCTCCATTTCCTTGAAAAAATTAAATGAAACTTTAAGTCTGGAAATGGCCTGGTACTAAGAACTGAAAGTGTCACTGAATGAAAGAAACTTTTATTCTTTTTTTTTTTTTTTTTACACTCAGCAGTTGTCACCCAATCCTCTCTGACTTTTCTTGGCTTCCACTGCAAGCTATAGGTTTAAATGACTGAGGGAGAACATGCCGTACAACAGGCTAATTTCCTCTACTTTACTATTAATGCATTTGGCAGGAACAACATTCCATTCCCCGTAATGAGATACACAAATAAATCTGGCTATGGATAGATTCAGAGCTGGGTGGTGGCGGTGATGGTGGAAGGGAGGGGAGGGTGCAAAGGAAGATGTGCATTGAGACGCATACTCCAAGCCCTGGCATAATTGGTATCACTGCTTGCAGACATGCAAACCAATCTCTCCATAGATAGGGCCGAGACTCTCTTTTCCCCCCTTAAGGCTATTTCTTTTGTCTTTTCAATAGCTTGCACATCCAAGATAGAGGGAGGGGACTGGGGCGTAAGGGGGGATGGGGGGGTTGTGAATTAATAGCTTTTCTCTGCAGAATTGCAAATTCTTTTTAAATGTCACTGTGTTGTAGATGCGAAGAGCATCTGAAGCCACAAACTCTCACAAACACATTTCCAGGCAAAAGGTGGGAGTCAAACACATCCACAAATCCTAAAACTAATCCCTGCTCCATTATTATTGAGTCTGCCAGGACCTACCTTATCCCTCCTTTCCTCACAAAACATTTTTTCCTCCTCTTGCGTGAGCTGTCCAGTGTAACATGCTACTTTTAATTTGCAATAACACATGACAAGGACAGATTAATAGCTCTTATGGCACCCGCGTCCCTGAGGCTCATCTTACGGGGGACCAGGTGTACATAACGCGTGTCACACTACATTATCTCTACAGCCCTGCAGTAATAGGGACCTTTTTCTTCCTGAAAGGGCAACTGCTGACTTCAGTCACACGAGGAGCACTAGACAACGACATTGTGACAGAAGCCGAACAAGGACGATACAACTCTTTCTTATAAAGAGCACCATCAGGATTTAAAATATGCAGAAACATTTTGTCTTGTAGTTGAATACTTTCACACATGCTTCAACTAATTTACACGCTAAACTCAGTTGCAGATGAGTTCTTATCTCAGTGATTTTAAAACTTTAAAAAATGATGTATTAATTAAAGAATCAATCTTAAGCTAGAATATGGCCACAGACTAAAGCAGTTCTCATGTACCTACACAGTACAGTTACAATTTTGGGATAAACTACTGAAATGCCTCGTTATTGTTTTTTTCAAAACAAAATAAAGACCATTCTTGTCTGCATGAAGTTGTAACAAAGTAAAAAGAATGTTCTTTAGTTGATATTACTGTAAAACATTGACCATAAAATATCTACGTCTCGGTATTTAAATTGTATTTTGCTGAAACATGATAGCTTGTAGCTTAATACCTTAGCATACAATTTAAGCAATTCAATTACCATTGTTGTGAGATTTGACTAATAAAAAGAACACTATTTTAAAAAAGTGAGGATATATCCAGACATTGAAACTGCATAATACAGATGTTAATTTAACGATATAAACAATTGCTGAGAATACACTGAATTTTCTCATTTTTTATAAACATAAAACCCCAGAAAGTAGATTAGTATTAGTATTCAATTGTTCGTCTTTAGATGAAAACTATTATTTTCCGCAGTAACTTTACCATTAATATTGTTTTACTTATTTTGGAAAAACAAAAAATACATATTTTCCTGCCACACTTTATGAGCAAAACATGAATAAGTGAAGACATCAACTGCAGGTGAAAGGAGAGGATGTGTGGTTTGATTGATTGAGCAAAGTGAAAAAAAAAGAAGAAAAAATAAGGTTGTCTAACTTCAACTTACAATGTCCTATTTTCCTTCCATCCAAGTGGTTGCCACTCCAGAGAACTAAAGAGAGAAACATAAAAGGAAAGGAAGTGGCCTGTTTTCATCAGTGCTCTCTGAGATCATTTTTAACCACATCATCCCAACCAGCAACCTCAATGATGTGCCCACACACACAAACACACGCACGCACACACAGCCCCTGCCCTGCCTCCACCGGTCTGTTCCTACACCTGTTCAGGCCTCCACCGGGGACATGTTAATTCATAGGCATTAAAAAAAGCCAATTGTTTGCACAACCGATAATCTATTAGCCCTCAGGCGTTGTGTGTCCACTCTCCTGCTCTGCCCAGGAATGAAGAAGAAAAAAAAAAAAAAACATCCTGGCTTAGACTAGAAAACCTTCCACATAATCTTTGAGTGTATCTACATCTGCTTTCTTGCCAATTCTCAGCTTTTGTTTGCTGTAAAATACACGCTTTATTTCTTTTTTTAATCAGAAAAAAAATGTCCTTAAAGTTTTTATGCAGTGCTAAATATTAAACGACTAGGAGTTCACTGATAAAATCAAGATTGCAGAGGAGATTTTTTCTGCCTTTTGTGACTTTATGGGGATAGAGGCAGCAATGCTGATGACTCGCCAAGGGGGATTAGAGTTGTAATGACAGCTATATGCAGTGTCAGTGGTATCAGATAGAGAGGCTGCTCTGTTGCCATATATCTGTATGGTAAAAATGAAACTGATTGGATCACAGCGCTCTTTCGAACACTCGGGTCTGCCTGATGTAACAACATAACAAGTCACTGGAGACAACACACAAAAACACTCTCTTGACTGCAGAACTGTCATAAATGTCAACTTCTTCACACACAGAGGGGGGAAAAAGTAAGAGAAGAGAGATGAGATGAATTAAAAAGGATGAAAAACAAAAGGGGATCTTGTGTTTTTCCTTACCATCATCCCGTTTCCTTTTCTCGCCGTTGGAGCGGGGAATACCCAGAATGCCGTTGATGGAGTAGGATCCTACGGGATTATTGGAGGCACTGGTCACGGGAGGCGAGGCTGTGCTGGGCACTGGTGTAGAAAGCTGTGTTAGTGTGTGTGCTTGGTGTGTTTTCCGAGTTGTTTCAGCAACAGCGATTGTCTTATTTGACTGTCCTCTAATCTGCTTTATTCATTCGCTCACCTATGGTGTGGCCGGGTGTGGAGAGCGGCGTGACGGATCCATCAGGGGACGGGTGGAATTGCTGCTGGACTTTGGTGCGGATAATCCTGATAAAGTGAACAACAGACATGGATCAATCAATGCTCGTTTCCACGGTGCGGAGATTTCACATCAGACCGGCCTGGCCTCGGACGCTTAAACACGTTGCATCACGTCCACTTTATGTCTGTGCATGTACAAAGCGCTCCTGCCATTTGTGGGCCTGCTTGTATCCTGACACGCGGGCCTGTCCCTGTCACAAATAGCCAATCTCTGGGCTTTAGGGCCAATCTCTCTGCTCCTTGTGTGCAGCTGAATAAGGGCTGGCCCCTGGAGATTGTGGATTCAATCTAGCTGGATTCTGAGGTTAGAAATATGATAAAGTCCCCCATACAAGTAAGATGTGATGTGGCGGGAAAGTCTTCATTGCACTTTGGTCTGTATGATCTTGCAAACAAAGCATGAAATCACATCAATTCACCTCAATGATCAGCTTCACTGGCTCTACCTGGCCAACTCTAATAATCTCCCTCTCCAGCACATCACACACTCTCTTTTCTTCTCTCTCTCTCCATCTCTCAAAGCTCCATCCTCTTTTCTCATTTCTCCTCTCTTTTCCGTCCAGTGCTGCCTCACTGTACCTCATAACGACTGTCTCAAACTCCACTTCTCCTCGCTTTCCTTTATTTTTCTTTCTCCAATCTTCTCCTCCATTGCCGTATCTCTGAGTCGTACTTTTTTCTTCTTTTTACAAGCTAAACACAGCACTCAGAAGGTCTGTGTGCTCAGAGCTTATTGATTGGAACTCCCAGAAAGAAAAGTTGACGACAGATGCTGGGAGACGAACAGCACATGCAAATTGTGATCCACAAATTAAACGTGACAGGTTAGCAATAGGGTCTCAATGGCTCAAACGGCGTCTGACGCCACATCCAACGTGTTTTAACCTTTCCTGTGCTTTGAAATAACAACCAGTATGAAAGAAACAAGCAGAAAATGCATTTAAACTGACAAGAAAAAGGATAAAAACTTTCACCAAATCATGCTGCCATGGTGTAAAGTCTGCTGTAACTCTTCTGAAATATGATCACATTAAACCATGACTATGGTAATCTTTTGATAGATAGGAGAACATGAGATAATTGATTAACAGACAGCGACATAAATCCCACATGGAATTACATCTGGCTGCAAACATGTGTCAAGAACAGACTTTATAGGGTGCAGATGAGGTGACTGACACACACACACCCCCACACCCCCCCCACACACACACCCACACACACACACCCACACACACACACACACACACACACACGCACGCACGCACGCACGCACACATGCACACATACGCCAATGCACAAAGTGCAATCCATCGCTAAAGGGTTAAACTAAAACTTTTCATTTTCCACTTTATCTCTCGATGTTCTCCACCACTCTCGCCTTCAGGCAGGGCAACAAAAGGCAAGCAGCCTCCTCCTCCTTCTCTTCCTCCTCCTCCAGAAAACTCCACATCAATATTTTATTTGAATTTCCAACATCTCACCACAACAGTTATCTGACCTCATGACTTGAGGGAGTCTCGTAAATTCAAGGACTTAGTTTCGAGTTGTGTGTTGTTCGTATTGAAAAAGCAATCTGGGTGGTTGAGTTAATGACTTCGGTGTTTGGCTCTTGTGTAAAAAAAAAAAAAAAAGAAGAGTATATATCAAGCAAAAGCAATGTAAAGATGGTGATCAATGTTAATGGAAAGCCTCCTATTGGTGCTTTTCTCCGATTGGGCATTGGACTACAAAACCTTGTCTTTACGTAATCTTTTATAAATCACAGAAGAAAAAAAGATGTGTTTAAAATTAAAGCTCTTTAGTCAAACAGAGCAGAAATCAGACACTTTATGAGACAGACCACCACCAGGGTTTTTCTTTCTATATTCTTTCCTTCATGCATTTAATTCCTCCTCTAACAATCTTCTTACAACACCAACTCCTATCCTCCTGCAACGTTACCATTTCGCCTGGAATGGTTTCATGCTTTGCAATTCACCTTTTTGTCGTTTGGACTAAGTTAAAGCGGGTCACATGTTCTATATCCGAACACATCAGAGGACTAAAACTCAGAGTGAATTCTTAAGAGTTGTTGGGCTGTAACCCGTGCTGTTAATGATTAACGTACAAACTGGAAAACAATTTCTGTCGGCGCATTTTTCTCATAGCAGCGAATGACCAAAATGCTTCCAAACAGTAACTTGAAACAGAACAGAGGAGTCCACTTCAGTGTACATCGCTTTTAAAAACCTGTTGAATGATCTCCAAGCGTCGTTTTCTTGTTTTCCTTCATTATTTTCACCCTCCCTTCCCCCCCCCCCAACCCTTGAATTTAGCTGGACGTGTTATGAGACTCTTTTCAGCTCATTAAAATGTAATGCTGAGGACCAGCTCTCTGGAACAGTGCCTCCTAAGTAAGGTTCATCACTGCATGCGCTACGGGACTTTTCCCTTTAATTCTGCAGGCTTCCTCTGGGCTTTTAAACAGCATCCTTACATCTTAAAATATTGTTTTCCCCCCAAAAAAAAACTGTCCCGCAACGAGAGGAAAAATAGGTAAAGGTATTTAATAATTTAATCATTTTTATTTGTGACATTCTTTTTCAATCATCATAATAATAATAATAATTTGAATTTCATATATATATATTTTTTTAATAAAAATACATTTGTGTTGTGACGTGGATATTGACTGGCAGTGAGGATGCTGCAGCCGCCTCCGTGACAGTGTGGTCCGTGTATTGAACGCCTGAGTCGGGTGTTTCCCTCCGCCTCTGGATCTGGTTACGCAGGTATCGATCGGTTTTTATCGAGACAGATGTGATCCTTCGCGGCCCCACGCTGCCTCCGTGTTGTGGAGGGCCACGCATCGGAGGGATCGAATTGCACGTGTGAGACCACCCTCGAACAGGGTCTCGGCAGCCAGATATGTGCAGCCGGAGTATGTGTCTTTAATAGTATCACTTCTTCTTCTTTTTGTTCTTTTTCTTTTTTTTAAAGTCGCTGTTTCTTTTAAAAAGGTGCCCACCAAATTAAAATTGACGATGAATTCACGCATTTTGGGGGGTAAACTGTGTCACCGAATCCTTTAGTGAATAGAAAAAAAATAAGACAAAAATATTTTTTTTCGCCTACCTGTTGATGGATGAAACACTGGGTACTGTGTCGTTGTCGCAGACCCCCTCCGCCAGGAGTCGGTCCCTTATCTCCCACGCAAACATCGTGGGATTCTGGCGCTTGTACTCCGCGATCTTATCCACTACTTTCGGCGTTGCCACCTTTGGTTTGGAGCCCCCGATGACTCCCGGTTTAATACTGCCGGTCTCGTAGTACCTGCATGGGGACAGAGTGAGCCTTCCTGAATGGACCCCCGCCTCCGTTCAACTTCAAATGTTGTGCTCATTAAAGAAAGGTGGCTTTCAAAAAAAAAAAAAAATAATAATAAAAAAATAAAAAAAACATGTTATCAACGCTTGTTCCATCGAGTTCTGCAGTTATGCACATTTACTGCAAACAATTACCCACAAATAAGATCTATTAATTGGCCTGGGAGCGTTTTTGGGGCTAATTGAGTGTCAGCTGGAAGGCGAGCAAAAAAAGGGAGTGTGATTAAAATAAAATATGAGCGGGGGCAGACAGAAACAGAACAAATGCTTTAAGAGCACACTTTTAAAATGTCTAATTTTCACCACTATCAGCAGCATGCACCAAATGCCACCGTGACCTATTGGTAAATGTTGGTGACAAAACATTCAGTGTGTGTGGAATGAAATACCTCTGAAATGCCTTCTGATAGCTGAAAAAAATATATGTCAAAAAATTATTGGTGCCCTTAAGAAGAAGCTGATTTAGTTGTTTGCAGCCGTTGTTTTCCTGCTTGTATGAACTGTACGAAAAAAAAAAATGCTGAATAAAATGTAGGCTATGTGATAAGATTTTATTTCTAAAACATTCTATTTTTTCCCCTCGTAATTATTAAAGTTTACTCTTCACTTTTGAGAAAGTCTCCAGCTATATATTTTTTTGACATTATGTTTTTCTCATGCGAGTTGGCAAAATCCGCCAAATATTAACAGAAAAAAAAAAAAAAGAAAATTAAAAGAAGGCAGGAAAGAAAAGCTCTGCCTCTGTCAGCGATGGCTGAAGCTGAGACAAGGGCGGGATGTGCATTTAAATACTCTTAAAAAAAGATGCTGGACACACACGCACGCACGCACGCACACGCACACACCCACACACACACACACACACACACACACACACACACTCTCGATGATGGGCCCCCCTCTCTTTTACCTGCCGAGGATTTTGCTGACACAGCCGTGACTGACCCGTAGCTGTCGGGAGATGTCGCAGGGCCGGACGCCCTGGTGGGCCAGCTCCACTATCCGCTGCCGCACCACGTCCGGGAGGGGTCTGCCGTTCACAAACACCCCGCCGAGCTGGTTCACACCGCCGTGCCCTGCGTGGGATACAACAGCAACGCGAGGGGGGGACATAACATTACATACCTGCAGACAGGACACACACTGCTGTGCATGCAGGGGCCGCTTCAAAAGTGAAAGTTTTACTATTACTGCTGAAAACTCAAAGGAAGCACATATTTATAGACACTGATTAATCACAAATGTAATGAAAAAAATATATAATTATAATGATAATAATAATAATAATAATACAAATGAAATTAATGGAACTCTTGCCCTAATAATCGAACATTTCAATGTTTATTATACATATATAAATATATAAAAAATACATGCAAATCAGACAATATTTTCCATGAGCATCACTCCTTCTGTAGCTCAACACATGTCGCACGTATCACGTTTCCAACCTGTTTAATTTTCCTCGCTACAATTATTGTAAATAATTAAAATAAGCTTTGATAACTCATATTACCAACGCGGATTGTGCGAATGAGGACAGATTAATAATTTAGTCCCAGTCCGGGTCTTCTTTTACCCATATCATATGGAGTAAATAAATAATAATAATAATAAAAAAAGAATAACAAAAACAAGAAGAAAAGAATGGAAAAAATACGTGGGACTGCTCAGTTTTAGTTTGACGTTTAAAATGAGACAAATGGTGAATAATGAGGCTCGTTTACGTGCATTTACACACAGCGAGGTCTCTCTTGCTCACAATGAGGCTGATATTGCCCCAGGTAATAAAAAGCTCTGTATTTAAATCGAGGTGTTCATAATTCGCCACTTCGCCGAGGAAGCTTTACAGTCTAGCTAATTTTAGGAAAAAAAAAACAACAGCAAAAAAAAAAAAAAAAAAAAAAAACAACAACAACAAAAGAACTCTTGACAAAAGAAATAGAATCAAAATCCCAACATTTCGGGAAATCTAAAAAATTATGTGGAATTATTACAGTTTTAAGACTTGATCGATGTATTTCAGTTGCTCAGTCTGGGTTTGCTGATGCAAAATTTAAATAAAAAACAACAACAACAACAAAAAAAACGTGTATAGCCGACATATTATTTTAGAAGAGAAAATAAAAGCGCAATTTGCAGAATCTAGCAACAAAAAAAAAAGCATTTATATAGGCTATATTTTTTTTTAAACTTGTGCGCTTGTAAACTCTAAAATAAGTTTACTAATAGATTTGGGTGCCATATGGGTTTCATATAAACAGGCACCTTTTTTGTCAATCGGCAGACAATCTAATTTGATTCGGGATGAGAGCCACATCACAGAGATGTTTCGCTCCATAAACTAATTCAGCATACTCACGGTGCATCGCCGAGAAGGGGTCTGCTTTGCAGTGAATATCCATGGGATAGCAAAGGAAAGAAAGGTAATCGACTGAGGTCGCCGTTTCGCCTTTGTGGTGCAGCTTTAAACGAATAAAAAAAAGATTAAATATAAATTTGTTTTGGTGTAAAACACAGTCCGCCTTGGAAGGAGTCCGCGGGTTCTTCAACTTCTTGTTGAGTTTTCCTTTTACCAAAAAAAAAAAAAAAAAAAAAAAAAAAAAGTATGGAAGAAAGTCTGTCAGGTGCAGCGCATGACCCACGCGTGTGCAGAGCGCGCCGGCTGCAGCAGCATTTGGCTTTAAAACTCGTGTCACTCTGAGTGTTTGGAGGACATCCTGAAGAAAACCAAACAAGCCGGTATATAGCTCTGAGCTCCACTCAGAAGAAGAAGAAGAAGAAAGAAAGGAGAGGAAAAAAAGAGAAAATCCCCCTCTCTCCTCTGACAGCGTGCTGGACTGGCGGGGCTCTGCGCTTCAGTCAGATAAGGGGCGGAGATGACAACAACAACATGGACATGGCGGAGACAGAGCAGCGCGTCCACCCTCAACCTCCGAAACGGGGCTGTGCCTGAGCGAAGCTTTGGACTGAGAAGCCCCTCTCCTCTTGTGTCTGTTTCTAAAAGCCGCAGTCCCACAGATCGCAGCCCACCATCAACCTCCCCCACCAACCGCCACCCCCCACTCACACACCCCTCCTCTCCTCCGAGCCTACCTCCATCCCACAGATCCCCTTGCATAGAGATGGATGACTTGTCAGACAAAGGCAATAGATTCCAACACTTTGTGATTCGCCCACGTAAAAATCCTGCAGCTCAAATGAGGAGGTCCCTGCATCCGACAGCCGGGAATGGGAGGGAGACGGAATGGGAAACGATGAGACTTTGGGGTGAAGAATCAAGGAAATTAAAGGCACGGGGGTAGAGGAGAGGAAAGGCGCTATCAGGACGTGTTCTATCTGATGTTTACACGGAGGCTCACCAAAGAAACACTCGGGGATGCCTACTTGTAAGACTTTTGACATGGGACTTTTTGAAAAAAAAAAAAAAAAAATTACTACTTAACTCATTTTTTTTAACCATCTTTGCACCGTGGATTCATTGCTGAACTTGTTCACCTAAATTGCAAAAAAAAAAAAACAACAAAAAAGCTCACCAAGTCTATATATATATATATATATATATATATATATATATATATATATATATATATATATATATATATATATATATATATATATATATATATATATATATATATATATATATATATATATATATATATATATATATATATATATTATTTGACTGAATGTGTTCAGAAGAGAAGGCAAGAGAGAGTCAGTCAGAAGGCCGTCATCATCATCATTACCATCATCATCATCATCTGCCAGTTGCCTGTGTCCGGTTCTGCTCTGTAGATGGCGCTCATACAGTAGGATAGAACGCCCCGCTGTGCTGAAAGCATGCGTGCATGCATGCATGCCGGTGGACGGGCATGGGCTGCTGAGGCCGGACGGGTCAAAGGTTGATCCTCAGACTACAGTGAATTATGCGCTCCTAATCTCCCCCGGAAGTCAATAGAAAACTTGGAGCGCTCGTAAATTAAGAACGTGGTGATAGGAGTCTCTTCTGCACTGTCTGCACTGATAAAAGTCTGTTAGAACTTAACCAATGAAACTGACATAACAATTTGCAAACATTTTATATATTCAGATTGATCTCAGTGTTTCTGAATTGAAATGGTGTACCTTTAACAGCCAACTGACTCTTGAATAATTAACTTAATAATACAATATTTTCAATTGTGCTTAGAAACTAACTAAAATAACCTCTGACAAATTTTTAGTAAAGTTTTGTTTTTTTCTACAGGATAAAAAAAAAAAGAAAGATTAAGAACAGGTTTTTGGACCAGCCCATTGTTAAAATGCTACTGACAGTAATAGACATTTTAAATCTGCTCTAACAAGGTTTGTTCCTGACAACCACAGCCAAATGCCTCACTTTCTTTATAGGGTTAAGAAGTTCATCCTTACACTAAAAAAATATTTTAGTGGGTATTAATTATTGATTTGTAAATGTAATGTCCAATGATAGTCAAATTCTAACACCATTAGCTTTTTTTTTCTTTTCTTTTTTTTAAGAAAACATGTCTAAACATTTTGATTGCATTTTAATTAATTTGCGGATTTGCTCAAATATTGTGTGCAGTACCCAACAGACCACAGTTAAACCGATATGGTTAATCAGGTTGTATTAACCATAAATATGTCAACTTTTTCTAAGTTATAAACTATTATATTTGTACTTGAGGAAGTCTTTCTGCTGGAGCAAAAAGTGAATTTTGCTTCCTGGTGCAACCAGTTCAATGACAGAACAAATGCTAAAGTCAAATATGGCAGCAAGCTGAGGTTTTTAACCCTAAAGTGGTCATTATGAATAAACGTCTTTCTGTTCTGGTTCTGGTTTTCAAGGACAAAGTTAACATAGCAGCTTATTGTGATATATTTATAATGCATTATTATTTCAGAAATATCTTTAATACATCCTTATTAACTGGTATGTTTTGTACTTCCATTTGATTAGAAAAATATAATTTATACATAGCTACACTGTTTGTGTCTCATGTATCTTAATAAACACACATCTTTATACTGAAAGCTCAACTAAATCAATTGAAGAAAAAAAGAAAATTCAAAATTTTTAAAAATTGGCTCCAGTTCAATTGATTTTGCCAAGTAGGTACATTGGTAGGTACATACTAAAGTCAATTTATTTTAGTACTTCCAGCAGTTACATTTACATCAGTTCTATTAAAAAATATATGATAAGAAACCTAGCCACTTAAATATTGACAAATTGTTTCATTGTCAAGAAATGCAATTGGTTATCTTCATTAGTGTAAGAACTGTGTTGGATTAAGGTTTTTAAGTTAGCCTCATTTTATTGGAAATTAGTTTCTAGGATCCCTTCATTTGCAAAGCTGGATGCAAAAATGAGTTCTTTTTCCAACACAGAAACTTTCTGAACAGATTAAATTAACCTATTGTTATGTCTGTTTTTATTTTCACCTTGTGTCATGTTTAACAGTGCGTGGAGTGTGTATTTAACAGAAATCCACCATAATAAAAGCAAGAAAAAAAATGCTTATTAAAAATAAGAAATAGAAAATACAGTGAGCCACTGGTTCAAAACTTTCTGCAGATCTTTTCAGATTTCATGGTGATTCACAGCTTTTTATTAAGTTGATATATTAATTCACAATATTTGTCAAATGAAAAAGAAGGCAACTTTATGCTCTGATGCTGCACACCATAAATAATTTAAAAAAAATAATTAATTGAACAAATTCTGCTCATAATGATATCAAAATAATATTTTCATTGATGTCATAAATTAGGCTGCATTTACAAACCAACAGGCTTGATTTCTATATAAATAATTTTATTGGTTTATACTTGATCCGCTCCAAAATTAATTTTTGAAGTGTACGCAAGCAGTTTTCCCCAAACCGAATTCATGCAGTGACATTTCAAAGATGTTGGAGTAAAACCATCACCCGAGCAAACTTTAGTTGTTATTTAGATCTTTGTTGGACTAATGGCTGCTCATAGGGTCCACGTTCCCCTGTGGACAAATTTAAAAACGATTCCTCTTGTTTCTGCATTTTTTTTTTTTTTTTTTCCTTTTTTGAAAGGAGGTGGAAAGGAGCTTCTGGTACAATATGTAGCACCATCGGCTGTAATTTCACACGTGAGTGCACTTTTGCCCTAAAGCTGCTGCTATTTCGCCCACAACAGCCCTATTTGCCCCCCGTATACCTCTCCGCACTGCTACAATGACGTTCCCGTGTCACCGAGCTACAGCAAAACAAACCGCGCGATGATTAAGAAGCTGTTAGTCCTGACTTCGCACCCTCCCCCCCCTCTCCTAAAAGAAAAAGAGAAAAAAAAAAAAGAAATCCGGGCCACTGAGGGGCCTTGTGGGATCAGGCTTTTCGATTTTTGTGCAATAAAAATCTCTGGAACAGTGGCTTTAAAGTGCTTCCGACACTTTAAATAGTTACACAAATTTCCAAAATTAATAACGACTTTAATGTTGTGAAAAATGCATCAACTGGGGACGATCTAGAGAATAATGAAAACACTGATGAGGGGGAAAAATGAAGCTGAAAGATGCAGAGGAAGGGGAGGATGATGAATTTCCATCGAGGATCAAACAAATCTTTTATTTCCGTTTTTAAAACAGATGGCCTGTGAGGCACGCGCGGAGCATGGATCGATAATTTTTCCCCCCCTAATTGTCAGCTTAACCTATACACGAATCCCCAATAATCTACTTTTTATGCGAATAATAATAATTTATTAAGTATTTACATTTTGATATGCACACAATTTGGCCTGACCAATGGCTTGCGTTTGGATTCTTTTGTTTAAATATCATTATTAATTGCGCAGTTACATTTTTAAAACTAAACACATCTGAAACCCCACTAACACACCGTGTATCAGAATCCTATCACACGTGTTTTTTTCACAAGATTATTTTCGTTTGTCTGACAAAAATCCAACACTGAACTTTAAAGTAATCGAGTAAATTGCAATGAGTACCCGAAAAGTAAAAAAAAAAATAAAAATAAAAAAAATAAATCACAATATTCCATAGTCTACACCCTCCTTCTCCCCTCCCCGATGTTAACGTTTTATTAGTTAAAACATCAGCATCATATCAGGAGTCCCTCGCAGCATCCCACAATGATTTGGAGTCTCCTGACACACCCGGAACCATATGGGTAGGCTCTGCCACACTGCAGGATGTCAGCTGCGTCCTCAGATTGCCTATTCATGCGCTCTATAACGGGAGCAGATGGATATCAATTTGACTCCATTCTCGACACCATCCCAGATTGATTTTGCACTTGCTTTTAATTTTGCCATAATTAATTAGATCATTACAACTGTTTTCCCATTGATCTTTCCCAGCTTAAACCCCACAATTGAGAGGTGAATTAGGTACTGATCTATGGATTCATTCATTCATTCATTCATTCATTCATTCATTCATTCATTCATTCATTCATTCATTCATTCATTCATTCATTCATTCATTCATTTCACAAACAAATAAACTCGAAGACACACAGATTATTACTACTACTACTACTGACATGATTTCAATAAAAGAAGAAAAAAAAGGCAATCAATGAGACATATGTTTTATTTTCCAATAAAATAAAACAGAAAATGTTTACATTTAAGTCTCCAGACATATTATAAACAGGATGTCTGATACCTGAAAACAAATGCTTACATCAGTGCGAGGCAGAGAGGCAGAGATCCTTACCTGATCGACCCGCGCTGTGAGGCATGGCTCTCTCTTGTCTAATGGTGCGTCTCCCCCCGACGCAGCCCAGTAGATCTGCCCGGCCTCCCGCGCTCCCTCCCCGGCCGGGAATGCGCGTTTCTCCCCGCTGGTTGTCAGAATCTTTGACCGATCATCCAAAACTAAACGGTTTAGGCGACAACAAAAAGAGGAAGCAACCCTGCTCCAATGAGCTACGGACTGATAAAGGAGCAAGTAGTAAAAAAAA